CGAGGACCATGCTATGTCAAAGACCTCCTTCTTTGTGATCCATTTCACCGCTACTTAAGCTGAGGCGCTTTTGCTGACAAATTCTCTATTTAAATCTGTAAGGACACAAGAAAGGACGTGGAAGGACACACACTATGAATCTCCACATACATAGCAGTGCTACCCTGCTAACTGGATTATTTACTAGAGCAGGTGTGTGAGCTCTGCTCACGTTGGTGTCTGTAAACGTTCAGACAGCCTTTCCTGCTTGTTACCAGCATGCAGTCCATCCAAACACTTCTCAGCTAGTTAAGTCTTGTCCTCTTCTGACAATGATCAGGTAGCTGTACCAGCCAGGATGATAATGTCCAAATGTCCCCTTCAGCTTCAAATGATTGTGACTTCAAGGTCGGGGCCAGAACAGAACAAAAGGCTCTGTACCCATCCGGTACCAGCAGCTGAGCGTGCTACAGAACCAGCATGCAGCACGGATATTTTAGAGGACTGGGAAACCTGGAGCTGCTGGGGAGGCAAGTCAAAAGCTTAAGATTCTGTCCACTTTAATTACCATCTTTCTCCAGGCTCAAAGCAGCTTATGAGAAGACAACAGTGACAGAGAATCCTCCTTTCATGCTTCCACCTACAGAAATCCATCCATTCCTGACCTGCCTCTATCTTCCTCCTCGCACACATCAGAGATTTAGTAGAATCTTGCCAATAGAAAAGACATCAAACAGAGCACAGATGATTTTGTGAACTGTTTTACTTGACTAGCTGTGATCAGGCACCTGCTTCCAGCATGAACTCCGGACATGGATTAGGAAAAATGTAGTTATGTCAGCCTGCTCCAGCCACTTGAGGTACACGACAAAAGACTGCAGGACGATGCTTGGCTACCACTGTCCATTCCAATCACGTCCAACGCGATTTCCATTGTGCCCTCAATTAGGAGGTCACACATGAAGCTGAAAGTGCATTACAGTGCATAGTTCATAGCCAGACAAGCTTCTATGTCACTGCATGATCAAATAACTTCATGCATTCTCCTGTCTTACGGGATAAATGTAAGCATACAATAACATGCAAACAAAAGCAACTGGTGAGCACAGCTGTAGAGTCGCATTTTAATTCTGGGGCATCTCTACAGTACTGAGGACTGAATTGTCTTTTTCTGACCCTGTTGGGCCTGCTGCATTTTTAACTCCACCAGAGTGACTATTCAAGGTGAAAAACTACAGAAGTGGATATGCATCAGTTCAGGGGTGGAGTTGGTAGTGAAGTTGTAAAACACAGCCTCAGAGTTGGCTTTCTGCATTTTACAGGTGAGCATTTAGTAGCAAGGAGAACCAACCTGGAATAAGTAAAGACAGCAAAAAGCTCGGTGCACGTAACTATCTCATGCTGATACACGAGGCAATTTGTGAGCAAGCCAAGCTAAAAACATTCAAAAAACCAACAAAAAAAAAAAAGCCAACAAAACCAACTTTCTTCCAAAATAAACAAATCCCCGAATTGAAGTGCTTCAGGCTACAAAGGAAGCTAGCCAGGTTGTTTATAACATTCTGCAGGAATTCTGCTTAGGGCAAGTCAGCTGCTAACTAAATGAAAGCAGAGCTCAGAAGACAGAGTAGGTGATACCTTTTCTGTCTTTGTATGGCACCTGCTATAGTCTGACAGCAAACAGATCCAAGCTCCTCTCTGACCACAGTGCGCAATAACAGCGCTCGCTGTATGCAGCACATCCACATTTGCAAATACGAAAAGCATCAGCAACAAAACGAAGGTGAAGGAAAATTGTGCTGCAAGATGTCTGCATGGACACACCACACTTATCAGCAAGTCTAAAGCAGGCCTGGAAGAACCACAACAATGCAGTGACCTATTCACTACAGCTTGAAAGTTACAGATACATAGGATAAAGATTTGCAGGATGCAGCACTAAACTGATTTTGTTGCACCATAGATTGCAAGGAAAAAAAAAAACTGTCCAGCAAATACTTGTCAGCACTGTGTCTGTGTGACTCATGGTTACCAAAATTTGACTCATTATGATGTATTTATGCTGGAGGTGGCTCTGGGCAGCCTGGTCTGGTGGTTGGTGACCATGCACATGGCAGGGGGGTTGAAACGAGATGATCACTGAGGTCCTTTTCAACCCAGGCCATTCTGTGAGTCTAAGATTTAAAAGCTGGTTTCACATGAGACCATTTACACTGTAAGAGTTTACCAAATAATGGAGCCTGGCACGCTGACAGGATCCTTAACACTTCTCTGCTGCAGAAGGAAGGTGAACTTAAAACACTGACTTGAAAATATGTTTTAAAATAATTTTTTATTTCCTGTTTACGCTGTGAACAGGGCAGAACTTCCCCTGCACACAACACACACCTCTGGCTACAGCACTAAACAACAAATGTGTCCAATTGAATTGTGATGTTGAACAGGCTGATGCTCGGGCAAGCTGCAGATCATATTACTGTCAGTTGATCTGAAAATCAACAACATAAAGCAAAAAATCCACCAAGGCAGCAACTATGCAATTCTGCAGTGATCCTGGTACTCTTCTAGCTAAAATAACTGCAGTTTTTAAAAAGCTTCTTAAAAGATTTGTATTAACAACTGAGCTTTGGAATACTTTGTTACTGATCAAGAACAGTGAGATAATGATAGAAACTTCTTCTGTAGAAACTGAATAAAATTGAAGATTTGTTAAACCTTCAGAGATTGCTCTTAGTGCACTGCTGGTTTCTGCTGCTGCCAGCTCTGCCACAGTCCTTCAGGGGCAAGAGACCAAAAAAGCCCAAGGACTGATCTTAAAATAACCTACACCACAGATTGCCCTCCTTGCTCAGGCATTCAGTACATCTTCTATAAAATAATTTCTAATACAAATTCATTGGAATCAAAGCTTTCAACTTTTGGCCTTTCCCTTCCCCCTATTTTCCCAGTATATTACAAGAACACTGATAACTCGACATAACACTGCTCTGTTCTTATAACAGAATTCTCAAGAGCTACAGAAATTTATCCTACATGTGACCCTGAAGCCTTATTGAGGATGATCTTGGCTATGTGTGACGGGGGGTCTTTGAATTTCATGGGCCATTTAATCTTTAGCCTTCACCAGAACTATTTAGGCTGCTGGTGAATTAGAAATACTGACCTTATGAAACTGAAACAGATTTAAGGGTTAAGCATTCAAAACTTTCACACAGGCAAGAGAAGATAACAACTTACATTGACTACTTACCTGATAGAAACATCTAAAATCTTAATTTATTCATGGTCCAGACTCTTTCAGACAACAGCTCCTTCCCAAGTGTTGCCATGCCACCAGCTCATGTCCTGCTACTCCCGGGTTTATTGCAGGACCTGGGAGAATCAATCTAAAGGCTTATGTGAATGGCAAGGAGTCTCATTTTCCCTTACAATGAGCAGTGCTCACAGACACGGTGACCTTTACTGACAATTACAGCAATTGCTGCCCATCTGGAGAGCGATGAGAGGGGAATCCGATTCAGCTCTAAATCTTTTCCTCAAGTTTTGGAAAACACTGTGTGTGGAAAGGCAGATTATAAGCCTGTTAAGACAAGAAAAGTCGAACAGCACATTTGGAACATCTGAAGGAACAAGTCCTCCCAAGAAGACATCCAAAAGGACGTGTGCTTTTTGTTATACAATGTGCTTTTTGAGCTGAATGCTTTAAGCACAATTTGGTTGGTAGCTGAACTGCACAGACTTTTGTATTTATAAATACCTTTCTCTGTAGGTCTGTGCTAACCTCTGACCTGTACAGCACTGCATTTCTGCCCTCTATCAATAACAATTGGCCTAGGAAGACAGAAGCAAAAAGGTAAAGATGGAGAAATTTGTATGTGCAATAAACAAGTCAGCTGTGCTGCTGTACTCTGTGCAGGTTCCTCTCCCTTCCAACTAATCCAGGCTCTGCAGTGTTAATAGGTGTATAGCTTTCATAGCAGGAAGATAAATAATTAGACATATATTTCAAGGGGAATATCAGGAAGCCGTTTTTTTCCACTACTTTCTCCCTGATTTATATAGCAATCCTTTATTATAAACATTCTGGAACTGATTTCAAGGTAAGAAATCATTTGTCAGGAGCCAAAGAGCACACAGGTAACAAAGGCAGCACAAATATTCTCAAGAGACCAGATTTCTTCCAGGTTCTGGATGCCAAAGCACACTGTTACACAACATGCTGACATTTCTCAACACGTTACTCATAATCCAAGACTGGAGTCTACACAGAAGTCCTCCACAGAGGTGAAGCAAACATTCACCATTTAATTGGTCAGCAGTATAAGAAATGGGTAAGAAACAAGAGAAGCTATTAAAATCTGTATTTTTTCCCCCCAGCAGATACACCTTCAGTGAAAAGATTAAACCACAGAAACACTTCACTTTTCTCCTTGAAAAGATTCAACAGCTCAGCAATGCCACAGATACACAGGGAGGAAGCAGTTAGCTTGACAGTGACAGGCCACCACAACCCAGCCCACTCCTACCACCCAGATCAGAACTACTCATCGCCCCTCAAATTAACCCCTTATGGCCTGCCCAGGTTACAATAAAATTGAGATTAAAGTACCTCTTAGGCAATCGAGTCAAGATGTAAAGAATCATTTGGACTTGTTCCTGGTTTACTTTAATGAAATCATTTCTTGTTCAGCCCCAGCAAACAGGGGGTAAAGAGAAACTTCCACATTGAACCTTACGAAGCTGTAACAGAATCAGAAGGATCTTCTTTCATAAATAGATGTACAGTTGTTCTCATTACATATTTATTTGCTCAAATGAATTCCCTCCTCATGCTCATAAGTCCATTCTTCCTTTTGCACGCATTCTATGGTTTCTTTCAAGCTCTTCCCCCCACTGTGAGACCACAACAGCATCCTGTTGTCAGAACTTGTTGCCATGAAAAAGAGTCACGTTGTCACAGATTCCAGAGCTGTTACTCCAAATAATTAACCACCACATGAAAAGAGCCAGCAACAGGTGAATGAATGGATTTCTGCTTTAATAGGTTTTCAAACATCTCAAAATCAGTGCAACCCATGGGAAAATCTGGAAGTATTGTACAAATGACCTGCACACACCAGAGGAAATGAAGTGCTAGGTTTTAGGCAGCAGTGCTTGGAATTTTAGGCTTCTGATAGTCTATGTGCAGATTCCTGAACAGTCAATGCACTAATTTCACTGCAGGTTTTTAAGTTTGTAAATGCATCTGTGTGTGTCTGAAGGCCCTGCAACTACTAAATAGTAAACCTGAGTGTCACTTGTCACTCACCATTGGACAGCTTAATGCAGTGCTGCTGCCTCTTGCACCAGTGCCTAGAGAAAAATGCTATTATCCAGGATCCAGATAATTTCCATCTCACCAAACTGTCTCAGGGAGCCAAACCACATATAATTATTCAAGTGACTAGGAACTTAGTTTATTAAAGCCCAGTGAAAGTTGGCTATAAGTTAACGATCATTAATTTTCCCTTGTATGAGAGCTAGTCTCGTGCAGCAATTAAAAAGTTAAAGTGGAACTATCTGCTGTATTTTAAACAAGTTCACATATTCTCTATACAAATTTGGCAAATTCACGTCACAGCCATAGATCTCATTCTTGCAATTCCTGCAAAATACCCACAGCTCCTCTGTCAGAAGCAAAGAGTGAAGCCACCTGAACAACCAGATTAACCAGGAGTTCACAGCACAGCCCACACAGAAGCACAGAATGGCTGGTGATCTCCATGTTCCAGCTGAAACAGGTAGGCTTACTGAACTAAACACATTTTCAACACATGCTCCCAAAAGAGCTTGAGGTCACAGAGCAGATGAGTATGGAAAAACTGATGGCATCAGAAACACTGCAGACAAGAGGGAAGGAAAAACATGATTTCAAAGCCGATCAAAAACAAACAAAAACAAACAAGCAAGCATGTATACATGTCTAGATGTAATAAATATTGCAAAGCACATTTGTCTTTTTCCCCAAGTCAGTAAGGATAAAGTAGTAGCCAACGCACCAAAACATCAGCCTTCTGCAATGAAAATGTTGATGTCAGCAAAACACCTGCAAGCCAACTGAAGATAAAGCATTTGCATCGTCAACCAACCACAACTTGCTTCCAGTTCTACGGCGCCAAATCAAACCCTCTTCAAATTCACAACCTGGACCTACATAAGCACCACAGCATGAAAAGCTTCTTTAGAAGTAGGATGTCGAGAGACTTTAGAATAGAAAATAAAGTAAGAGAAAAGGTTTTCATTGGTCAAGTTTAAAAATTGTCTTCCTTTAGCCAATCACAGTCTGTCCCTTTGAGCCAATCAAAAATACACCTTTAGGTTTGTCCTTACTTAACACAGCCCAGTTGAGTAGCAAAAACTTATAGGAACAGGTGGCTGTGAGATGTATTCTGAGGGTTGGGCAAAGGGAAGCAAAATTACAAAGGAGGAGAACAACCATGGAAAACTTAGGGTGGGCAAAGGAACTTATTAATGCTCAGCCATCCTCCTCTATCTTCAGGATTCACACTGTTCTCTCCAGCTCTGTGTCATTCAGGTGTCCTGTAATTACTGTCTTCTATCTTCTGTCTCTGACCTGGAAAATGCCATCACAACATCCTCAGCACCTGTAACAGAGACAAAGAATGTGTGCCATGATTACTTCTGTTAAAGAACAGTGGAAAAATGTAGATAAACTGTAATCCTGTACATCGATAAAATCAACAGGAAAGGAAAAAGCACAAAATGAACAGAAGGCTGTGCTTTCTTATTTTCGAACTGGGACTTACCTTTGCTAAGCAATTTTTTTCCCCCTAACCTAAAGAAATCTTTTCCAGAAGAGTTCAATGCGTGGACTCAGTTCCTCAATTCTTTTCCTCAATTGAGGCCATCAGTTAGGTTACTGCCATCAAAACTCATGTCCTCTAACATGCTATTACCTTCCTGTGAACCATCTCCAAGTCTTCCATCATCTTTCAAGTGGGCACTTATAGCAGGAAGCCCTAAACAGTTGGAGAATCATGTCTGATAAAGGCTTGTAAAGAGCATTCCATGCTAAGCTCTCATTCTTCAAAGAAGATAACACAAGATACTTAGGAAAAAAAAAGCAGCCTTCTAGACATCCTGAATATAGAGCATGGTCTAACAGGCATTTAAGGAGAAACTTCCTCAGGACAATGGGGAAATAAAAGCACATCACGTGGTAGTGTCAAATCAGCAATTTAAATCAATATCTCTTGTCTAGACAAGAACTGGGAAAGAACCCTGCAGGGCTGAATGCAACGTTTTTCATTTCTGGTAAAAATTTGATCCTCAACAAAGTCAGATAAAAGTGAATGCTCTCTTTCATCTGTTGATTCTCTAACAGCATTTATTTAATCAATTAGAAAATATGATGAAACCACCAGTCACTGTCTGTATAATTTCTAAAAATCAAATGATCTGAGACACTTAAGCGCAACAGATGACTCAAAATGACCATTTTAGCCTTCATTAATTAATTTGGTCTGCCTGGGATAATTTTGCTTAATAAGGTTTTCCTCAAAGCCTCTATTAAAGGATTAGACAACCAAGTAGGAAATGCTATGAGCAACGCTGCCTGCCTGTGCCATTCAGATCACTGATCAGCTTTGCAGATATCTTTTACCAGGGTTTGGAAAGCTCAGATTCAGCATAGATGGAGCATCAGCACATGAAGCTCTCCAAAGCCTTCCACCTGCAGCACATCCAGCAGCAGATTTCAGCTCTGTGCCCCAAGCAACTTGCCCTGTACACCTGCACACAAGGTGACAGAGGGCTAACAAGAAGTCCTCATCTGTTAGAGCTGTATGAATGCCAGCCAAAATGTCACTTCTCAGTTCTCTAGTTTGCTCTTTAGTTGTGACACAGAAGGAAGAAAGGACTTAAAAAAAAGAGAAGGTGATTAATTCCCCCCTGCTAATACCCTTAAAAACTAAATCAATGCTTGTGAAATGTGACTACATTTATTTTTTCTCACTTCACAGTTTATTTGCTTCATGTACTCAAAGGAAGAAATATTAAATACTGAGCAGTAATTTGTTTTTCATATACAGGACCCACATTTTCTAGAACTACATCAAAAACTGCTGCTGCGCTCCCTCTTGCCAACACATAAAAGCCCTGTGGCCTTCTCCCTTTTCATCTCTTCCACAAACTGTTTTTTCCTTGATCAAAACACTAATGGCACAAAGCACCAGAATCCAGCTCTGAATTCACAAGTTGCCATGATATTTTTTTTTTCCCAAGACCACAAATACAGCAGCCATTGGCCTCTACAGGAAAAGGATTTTACTTCTAAAGATTCTGAAAAAACAAATCTGTGCCAAAAAGAGACAGGCAGTAACGATATTGAAATCATTAGCAAAGCAAGTTCACATGAAGCACAGCCTATGCCTCTGCATTTTGTATGCATCCCCTTTCAAGCTGCAGAGGCTTTGCTATGTGAGCCCAGAGCAGCTGGAGCAGCCTAGCAACAGCAACATCAGTGGTGACGTCGCACGGGCACAGAGATGAGCTGGATTATCTAACAGATGTTGATTGTTTTCCTGACATCTCCCCTCTCTACAGGCTAAATATGAACAAAATCATTCTTACAGGCACTCTCGTGAATTTCACATAGAAATATTATTCCCTACCAGCTGCACAGCCCCACAAACCCACTGGGCAGCACTCCTGCCTGCCCTGAGCAAGCCCAGCTCTCGGTGCTGCTCTCTGCACAGCTTGCTGTGGTGACCGAACAGCAGTTGGAAACACATGATGAGCAGAAATAGCTTTGGGCAAAGGACGCCGGGAATTCTGCAGTTCGTTCTGGCTTTACAATCAAAACAGCTCTCACCAAAGTGCAGGTTCTCACTTCACCGGTTCCTGTTCTCATATTCTGGGCCCATGTGGCACGGCCTCAATGCCAGTGACACTGTCAGCATGAGATGGCAAGGTGCCATTTGCCTGGACTCAACAGGAGAAGAGAACAGAAGCAGCACAGCTTGCCAATACAATCAGAAAGCAGAAAAAGTCAAATTATAAAATTTGTGTTCTATTTGGAAGAATAAAGCAAGACTGAAGAATACAGCATAAAAATGTGGAATGCATTACTGCATTACTACTATGTATGTATGCATCCTAGATGACAACGGAGATCAATGGGATGGAGAATTAGCCTGGAATTCAAGGCTGCAGTCTTTCACAACCAAAGCTAACAGCACAGAAGCTGCTACAGCATTCCTGCCTTGTCACTGATGTAATGACAATAACTGTAGTTTTAAAGTTGCATGAACTCATGAAGAAAACACCTTGGAGGGTTTTTTGCCCCATACAAGATCTGTAAAGAATGAACTTTATGCATAACTCTGAGCAATATTACTTCTAGCTCCCTCCTCAGATCCTTTCTCTATTGTAGCAGAAGAACCAATGGTTTCATCTGCAGGAAATACTGCAAAGTACCATTTACAGGAGCCTCAGGCAATTGCATTACAAAGGACCATTTGATGCATCAAATAAAAGCTAATACCTTCAAGGCAGACCAATGAGCAGCTAGGTAATCCCAAGGCACAGCACCCAGCAGAACATCACCCACCTCGTGTGCCTCAGAGCAGTGCCAATCTGCCAGCTCACTTCACCCCATGTCGTCTCCAATACAAACAGAAAGGTTCCAGCAAAAGAGTTTGTCAAGCATTTTGAGTTCCTCAAAGAGAAGGCACTATGTGATTGAGAAGCATATCTAGTGGTATTTCAGTGATCTGAAAGCAGAACGAAAAGCTTCTCTCCTGAATAATATCCATCTTCCTTGAGTAAGGGCAAAAGTGCACTCTGCTATTGAAAGGGATACTGTTCCAGGAGCCACTTGGTAAGACAGTATTTCTGAAGATACCTTGTAGCCAAAAAACAAAACCCAGAGACATTTCTCTAGAAACAGTCGGTCCATGTTTCTCAGCACAAAAGCAGGTTTTGTTCACATCCAGTCCTGAAACCCAAGCTAGACAGAGCTAAATGAAACCCATGGAGTAAGGCTGCTCATTAAGCACTTCTATAGCCACTTGTGCTCATGTACAAATACAAACACATCCAGAGAATGGAGTAGGGGTTTCTATGCAGTGAAAGGAAAGCAGGGATTAAAGTACTAATTAATAAGGCCTCTGCAACAGTCTCACTCAGCTCCCACAGCGGATGTTTTCTTTCTAATCAAGTGAAAAATTGAAAAACCAGAGCACAGGTTATAAAGTTAAGCTGCACATTGCCAGAAATCTGCAACTAAAACAATAGGACTGTGGGCCATGTTTACTTTTTGCACATCCTCCACTGAGCTTTGCACTTCCACTAATTAATGTACAGAACAATGAAGGTGCATGTATACCTTATGTGTACCCTGCACTCTATACACACAACTCCTCTCTGCACAAACCTCTCCTTTTCTGGGCACGCATTTCCACACTGAAAGAGGGACTTGCAGATACCCAACAGAATACCTGCCATTCTCCTTAATGAGCAAAACATTCATTGCCTCAAAATCTTGAACACGAAAATGCTTTTCCCACTTCTGCCTTACACTTTCACACTCCTATCCCTCCTACAGTTAACAACATTTAACTTGTACCTTTCCAGAGCAAGGACACACTGGCACCAGCATCAAGCCAGTAGGGTACAAGTTGGATTAAAAACACACTGCCTTGACCCCAGGCAAGCTGTTACCTTCTGCTGCTAGGTCCAAGTGTTCTTGAAACGATGTACAAATACATAGAACTGTTTCGTTTGCAGCCACCTGCAAAATTAATAAACCTGAACAGCTTTCAGAGATCAGAAAGGTAAATGTGCTATGAGTGTCAGAAGGATGCCAAATGGAAAATAAATCTATCTATATCTCTATCTCTTTGCTTTCCCCAAGATCTTTAAATATACATTCCTTTAATCACCATCCAGCAATTGCGTGCTAAACATTAACTCTTCTGTGAACCTCCCAGTATTAATATCCTGCTAGTCTGGCATTCTAAAAATACAACATGTGCTGCTGAGAGGAGGAACGCAGTCAGACATGCATGGTGTTCAGAGGGAAGGAAACGCTCTGTGCTAAGAAGAGCTCTAATATCTCGATTTCTCCACCACTATCTGGTATTTCTGCAGTCCTCCTGTTAACTCTGTGAGCAGCCTAGATCCATTTTTAATACCCCACCATCCAGAGAACGTGTCTAACCCAGCCAAGGCATGTGCCTGCATCTCAGCACTGCCCTCCCTAAGGGACTGCCTTTCTTCAAGAACCAGCATGACACTCCTGTTGCTATAGGAACAACAGAGCTGTAATCACCAAGGTCTTCGTATAATTCACATATTGGGCTTACTAGCTGCATAGCTTCCATTTTCAGATACACCACAGAGCAGTGACTTAAGGCAGCCAAATGCTAGCCTACCATTTAGCAATTTAAGCAACTGAGAAGCAGGATTTTTTTTCCCCTTCCAGGTGTTTCTGTGTACTTCACTTTCTGAGAAGTGTTTTGCTTGTGTTAAAAACATGCAAGAGAGCTTTAGTTTCATCATTTCAAGCTCAAGAAACTTAATGAGGCTGAACTGCTCTGTTTGATGCTGCAGTGCAGGGAAGAAGACTAACAAGCTGTATCTTGAAACAGCTCCTGATCAGATCCTCCCCTCTAGCACAGACACTGTTTGCAGAGGGATGCCTTCAGGTTCCTCAGTTATTCCTGGAGCCATGAAAACAAAACAACAACCAAAGCCACAGGTGTCAGCTAAAAAGTCTTTCAGCAAAGAAAAATGCCATATATTTTGCACTTCCATATACGTGTTAACAATATTACAGAAATGATCCAAAACCAAAATGGTTATAATGTTAAATCAACAACATGGTACGAAGGTTTAGGCTCTTGATTAATGTTAAATTCACATATGAAATGCTTCAGGAGAGAGCTGGAATAGAAAGAATTATTTTAAGACTGAAATATTTACCTGTTAATCTTGAATGACTACAATATGCTGCCCTAATATATATTGCTCTGCAAAAGTGAAGTTGGGAACACATACTAGATAGCAAAAGGAAATAGGTGCAGTTCTATCTGCTGGAATACTGTAGAAAGCCCCAGCCACCAGTGATTGCCCTGTGATCCACACAAACACATCCAGCAATGCAATCAGCTCAACTCAGAGTGGAAAGTTCACTCCCCCACGCACTGTCACATAGCTGCAACTATGCATGGACACACTGACCACAGGAAGTCATTCTGCAACCAGACTCAACTAAGGAGCTGACAGATCTTCATCAAAAGCCAGCAGGGAGCATCACACAGAGAGCAGCTCAGCAGTCTCACCTTGAGTAACTTCTGTGAGGGACCACAGGAAGAACCATGACATTAGAGAACAGCTTCTCTAAGACAGTATTTCATGGATACACAACAAGGAAAAAATTAATGAGACTATGATGTACTTACAAAACTCAAGACCATCCACCTACATTCTTAACAAAAAGAAAACAGAACTTTCTGCATATGTAGGTCCAGACTATGGCATGCTTGATGCACTAAAATGTGCAGATCTGTACCAAAGCTTTTGGGGTCAAGAAAGTCATTCCTCTTTTGGGAAAGAAAAGAGTAGGAAGTAGCTTTCTGCCCCATGTGTGCCTGCTGGAGAAAAAGGCCTCTAAAGATTGGTGGAGCTGGAAGCAACTGGTCCTTTTATTGGAAGGAAGACTGTGAAATCCACTAACCTAGGAAGTCTTTGTAAGTAACTCCTTAACAACAGCTCGTAGTGTGTGTGTGGCAAACTGCATAAAGACTAAAATATCCTTCAGAGGAAACAAACATTAGAAAAGTAAGGAAGAAAACTCCTTTAAGCAACCTTGAAGAAAATAAAGCATTAAAGCACCTCAGCGCTGGGACCTGGGATAGCATTTTTCAGTGCAAGATAATGCCATCTAGTGGAGATGAAATCTCCCTTTAGATAGCAAATTGGACACCTACAGACTTTTTCCAGTCTATTTTTGATAACTTCATGATGAAGCAATGGTTCACATACGGGAAGTTACAGTCAAAGGGTCCTGGCAACTGGTGCTGATTCTCAATAAAGAAAAATTATGGAAGGAAAAAGAGCAAAGAGCAGTGTTAGCATAACTGACTATTAGAAACCTGCAGAAATTTTCTGGGGATCAAAGTCCTGAGCAGTAAATTACAGTTGCTTACGCCTTTACAGCATGCTGCAGCTTCACCTTCCTCTAAAGGAAATGCTATCTGGCTGGTTTCCTCATTACAATTTTTCCTCGTGCTAAGCTCCAATTAATTTGGAAAGATGGCATATCTGGTTACGGAAAGGACTGATTTTCCAGCTCTCTGAAGAGTTAAATATGTTCTTTGTTCTGTTTTCTTACACCAAGAAAAACCTTTATGGTGAGGCCAACAGTTTAATTATAACTTGGGAGGATTGAAGGTGGATTGCAGGGTCAAATCACACAAGAAAGACAGCAGCATCACAGATCAGATCAAAGTGAGCATTAACATGGAGGATTTCACTTCCCTAGGGAAGAAGTCTAAAGAATTCTCAAGGACTTATAGAAAATGATGACAGAGAAATCATTTGGCGTCTGTACAAGTCTGGAACAAAGACAACTTTTTGAACAAAGTATAAAGTTCTTACATTTCCTGTATTGCTTGATTAGGGAGTCTAGAAAAACAACTAACTGTTGATCTCTCTTTTGATTCAATTTAAAATTTATGCCAATACTCATTTTTTCAGCTGCAAGTTTATGGCCTGTATCAGAAAGAGCATCCTTTGGGGGTTCTTCTTAATGTTATCTTAAGAGATTGAAAGCAACCAGAAGCACAATACTTTGAGCTTTCTCTACAACACCTCATCAGCAATTCTAAAGCACTCCAACAAAATCAGTATGAAGTCTCCAAAGCCCTCTGAAAAGAAAACAGTTGGCTAATTTTACAGATAATAAAACCAGACAGCTTAGACAAGGGAGTTAGATGAAGATGTATAGGAACACAGCTGTACAAGCACCTCTGTCCTCTGGCTGGACTCCTGTTCTTAGCATCTCTTCATTGCCAAAGTTGATACCATTCAGCATACTTTTTTTTGTTTTAACTGTGTGAAATGTAACTGTTTTAGGAATGAAGTTGACAAAAGCCAACTGCTGGAGGCAGCATCACAGCTCTCTGGTAACAAATGCAGTTGTTCTTATCTCAATGCGTTCCTCAGCTTTTGAGAAGAAAGTGGCAAATTTTCATTTGAAACTGGCAGAAAACTTTAGGAATTCTGAGCCAAACTACACAAGCATATCTATCTGCATCAATCCCCCAGCTATGTGAGGAATGAATACACACTTAGAAGTGCAAGTCTATACAGGTTTTCTAATGGTTTTCTAAATGTCTCAGATCTATATTAAATTTCTCCTCAACTCAGTTATTTTCAGCACAAGAAAAAATTTCCTCTCAAAGCAAATCCCACATTATGAATGTGATCTGGCATAGGGCCTACATCAAGAGGACAAAAAAGCCATGCAGAAAGCTGCATTCAGTTCAGAACAGATCTACAGCTTCAGAATCACACCATGGAATTATTTACCAAGACTTTTGTAAAGAACTCACAAAAGCAACACCTACTTCATCTCCTTAATAGGAACCCAAACAAATCCAATTAAAATAACACCGTATGGCAACTAACAAAAATAGTTTATATTAAACAGATCACAGTTTACCAGAACAAGTATGGAAGTTTCACAGCAGCAGCAGTTATCTCTGTCTGCACCATATCTCAAAAGTTTGAGTTCTGTTGAACGTTACACTCCAGTTCTTCCCCAAAGATTGGAGCAAAAAATGAATTACCCACCTCAAATTGCAGGATGAGTTTAAATAGGAAGTATATTATTACACAAAGATAGGAACCTAAATTCAGTATTTTCTGAAACTCTTCTCACAAATGAAATGAACACAAGGCAAACAAATCCAGCACTCACCCTGATCAATTGAGTGTTGAGGCAGCTGGCTAAGCTGGCTATTCACTACACCTGCATACGTGCGCAAGAACTCCTCTTCACTGGCAGTCAGCTGAAAACGTACAGAGTTGGTCAGCAGAAAGGAAAACAAAGAAAAACTCAAGACATCATCTATGACTTTCCAATAGGAAACATCATTTACCTCTACTTTAATCTTCAACCATTTGAGCTATTATTCAGATAAATTGTAATACCAGCAAGGCTGCAGCTGCAAACTGGTGCATCCCACGTTCATTGAGAGACTTAAAGTCACTTTAAAACAGTCACCTTATTTTCCTGCTTTCACAATAATGAAAAATTTTACTGGAAATAAAGACATAATCAGATGTTCAGATTTAGATTCAAGCACCACAACCCTCATATTTATGCAAAAAAAAAAAAAACACCTCAATTGTATTTAATCACAGGATAATGGGTAAATCAGTGATAGCTAAAACAACTCAGTAATAAAGCCAGACCATCATCTACCCACCTCAGTGAGCACTACCCCAGTTGTTACAAAATTACATCTGGAAAGCCACAAAGCACAGGCTGTGACAGAGTGACTTACGTTTGATCCCATCTTCCTCAGCATGAGCAGGACTCTCACTTTCTGCTGGATGTACATCTCCTCCGGACTCTTTCCGGGGACGCCCTCACGGTTCATTCCCCTCCTGCCAGCTCCTGGATTTCCTGGAGATGTGATAAGATCAGAAAAAGACAAATCAAAACAGATAATGGGATATAATAGGAACAAAGGCAAGTTTAATTCCTGAACTATTTTTCAGCAGCAGGCAGAACACTTACTGACTACAAGTGTGAGGAATCATAAGCTTCATCAGAGAAACCCTTGAAAAAAACCTGAATAATTGAATTGGGCCTTGCTGAACTCAGAGACTGAAAGAGGCTGATGTTCAGACATTACTGGCTCATTATCTGTTGTTACATTACTGCAGAAGTAGAGAAAGAGCAACGTGAATCCTAGATGAAAGAATTACTGACAGAGGAGCTGGTGTTTTTGTTTCTCCTCTCCATAAATAACAACAGCCAACATGAAAACAGGATGCAGAACGCACAGCCACGAAGCACACTGGATAAATAAGAATAGATGAAATGTTAACTCTTAAGCCTGAAGTCTTCTGTTTTTAATTAACAAAGCCAACAACCACAACACACCTACGGTTTAAGAATGTTATATGGAATATCTACCAATAGGTGGCACTACGTACAAGCATCAAGAAAATGCCACTGCATGCCAGCTCAGGAGATCCACACTCAGTATCCCACAACACACTGGGCATTACAAAGATCTGCACTAAATACATTTAGTTATTCACTTTTTTCCTGCATGACAGCCTTCAAGTCGTTTATCAATTTATCAAATACTTTAAAAGAGGTGATGTAATGTCCCTATTTAAATCTGGTTCTTCCAAAGCGAGTTTTAACTCAGATGGATTCATCATGACCCACATGTTTAACAGGAAGAATAAAAAAAGTATTGAACCTTCCCATTCAGGGAATACCTTACAAAGGCAGTAGCAACATGGGGGGAAAAATGTACTCAGACAAGTCAAAAGCTACTGCAACACATGTATACAGTAAGATTACAGAACAACAGTGCTTTGCTCTTCATTTACTGCACAGATTGTGTCAAAGTCTCAGCAACCACAGCTTCTCCTATTTGACAGTTAAAAAAGTAGGATAACAGTCTTAAAACAATATTGAGACTGAAAAACACCTCTCCATTGCTGCTACATGCAGATGCCCTTTAGGACGACAAATGCTGCCCGCCATATATGTTGTGCAATTACATCAGGATATTTCCACAACCACTTGCAAAACCGGTCTATGCTCTAAAACATGATCCATCTTTAGAAAAGGATTGGAAAGCCTTATTGAGGCCCTAACCCACTTGGCTTTCCCAAGAAAGTTAAATTTATTTGCCATACATCATGCAATGCAACCCAGCAGAATTTCCCTCACCCTGCAATCCTTCTTCTGGTACACAGATCAGGAAAGCTCCCTCATCCCCACCCTGCCCCCTCCCAAGTGAGTCCAACATTAAGAACTTTCCCTGCCAACATACCTGCTTCTAAAAACCACAGAAGATCAGATAATCCACGTGCTCACTCCCAACTGCCAGATTTGGAGAAAGAAGTATGAGAAAACAGCCCTGCGAAAACAAAGAAGCAAAACATTACAGGAACATAAAAAGCTGAGACCTAGAAAAAGAAAAAACAGCAGAAAATTTACCCAATACCTTTGGCAGCACAGTTTGCTTTATATCAAGGTGTAGCCAAAATTCATAACAGCAAAGCTTTGCCTGGAGTTTGTAGATCCTTTCTTGTATTTAAAGAATAAGTTTTTTTCAAAGGTAAACTCATTCTACATCTCCAAGATCCATACTCTGTACATACCAGTGACACTCCCAATCACTAGAGAATGGGAGGCATTCCAGCTTTGCAGCCCTTGAGAAGCTTTAAGCACAAAAGCCAACAGAAGTAGTGACATGTAACTTCTAGATTGAAAAAAACAGGCGTAGCTTACCAAAGGTTTGAGGAAAACTATGGAGAAATGGAAAGCATGGTGACTTTGACCAAAATTACTGCTTTCAACTATGCATATGTTATGTGAATACAGTAATTACAAGACTGGCATTTGAATGCTGGGCCAGAAAGTCTTCTGCACAAAATTTTTCAGACCAACCTCAGCTTTCAGCCAACAACAGCTAACAGTTACGTGTTCTTATTTCTTTCTTTTGGACTTGTGACAAGTATCTGTGGCACATTTCACATCTGACTCTGGGTACCAGGGCTCAAAAAGAGTTTACAACTCTTCCTGTCCATCACGTTAGCATGTAAGACAAATGATTCAAGCTCACCAATGGAGTGGTAGTTCAAGTCTTCAGTAACCACAGAATGGCTTGGGTTGGAAGGGACCTCAGGGATCACACTCTGACCCTTCAGCCACAGGCAGGGTTATGTGCTATGAAATAGCAAAAGCCTGCTGCTCAGGACAGCATCACAGCTAGAGCTGTGTTTTAATTACTGTAAGCTGCTGTATTTAAGTATCTGATTAGAGAAGATGCACATATCCACATCATTTGTTAACAAACTCCAGTTTACAATTATTAAACATATTCTCCCTTTTTATTTTTTTCCCCCCTCTCTTTAAATGTCACTATGTAAAAGCAGAGCCAGACTAATTAAATGTCCTTTAGGGCTGTTCACCCCCCATGCAGGTGTCATTACTAGCAGAGAAACAAGGAAGGGGTAGCTCCTACCACTCAATATTCTGTACACCAGATTCATCAGAGAAAAAGGCTGCATTAAAAACACTGCTAGCTTCACCCAGATGTTCTCTGCAGCAGCTCTAACTGACAAGTGCTGGAGGCAGCTGAGCTTTAACATTTTATCATTTAAAAGAATCATTTCACCTCTCCAGAGGAGAGAAATCGCCTGAGCTATCTAAACCATACCCTGTTAATTAGCTCTCACTGTTCTTGCCCTCTAAATATGCAGTCCCAAGGAATATCATCTGCAGCACTGACAACAGGACCATTTGCAGTAACTAATTGCCGTTCTCATTCCTACACACCTCAAAGTAACCCCACGCAGCGTGCAGATATTCCTGCACACCTGTGTGAGCTCCTTCCTAAAGGAAAAGCCGAGCCCATGGGAGCAAACCAATTCTGAGATGTGTTACATCCTACTCACAGTAACACAGTATTTATGGCTACCATTATAACCCCCAATCCTCCCCTAAATCACTAACGTTATGCATTTGTTGTATTTAGCACCAAACAGAAATTAGAACTGGAAGATGAAATGTTTTCCCAGCCCTGTAAATTCAGAGGAATTCAGCAAATCAATGGGCAGATCACCATGCCTGCATGCTGCATCTTGAGAGCTCCTGCTAACCCATGGTGTGAGTGTTCTGCATGACATGCACCTTCACTGCTAAAGGTCCAAGATGACTGAAGAAAGCCAAATAAATCACATCATTACTTTTCCTTAAACGTACAAGGGCAAAACATAACTGCAAGACCTAGTGACCTTGCTGTTTCTGATAGCTAGGAATTAGGGTTAGGGTACATCAGCTCACACATCCAACATTTTCAATTATGCACCAACACTTCCCTGTTCATCTCTAACAAATCCTAAAAAATAAGATCTAAAAATATTTTGTAGTTGTGTGTTTTAGGGGTGGGAGGGAAGAAGTGCAAAATATGAGAAAGTTTTGCAAGACAGCTGAGGAGCAGCTGAACCATCACCAGAATGAGTTACACTCACAATATCTCGAGCCCCACAGACCTGTCTGCTGCACAGCAATCCACCCAGAGCACTCCTCAGCTCTGGTTAATTCTTCCTTTCAGTTACAATTACCCTCTGTGCTCACTCATACCCACATTTTGCTCCTGCCCAGCTGCTGCTCATTCAGCCAGCGCCCAGCTCTGACTTGCTGTCCCTCTGTTCTCCACAAGTGGTGAAGAGAAAGAATGAGAAAATCTCTGAAAGACGAGATATTGATCTGTGTGATCCCAAACAGGGAGATGGAATAACAAACTGTCATACCAGACTGAAGGAATTTCCACAGCATTAATTGAGTATGAATGCTGCTCATTCAAGAGAATGAACAAGGTATGGGCCTAGGAAAAAGTGAATCTAGAAACAAATGTGGGTTGTCAGCCACACCTCCTTTTCAGTTAAAAAAAGATTCAGCTGGATGAATAACAATTTCAACCTACATTTTCTGGAGCAGTGCCTTTCACGCTCAGTAAGCAGAACACAAAACCATCCAGAAGCCCCACTGCACTTCCATTGGTACTTATTGGTCTAAGCCAAGAAATACAGGGGTTTCAGCTCAATTCTTGGCAGTCATACCCTGAATTACTACTGCTAAAGGAAGAGATGCCACAAGGCGATGAAGCCATCAAAGCCATCAGTACGCGCTGTTCTGCCGGCCTGGAACTGGTCTCTCCGGGTATGACTGTTCAGCAAGGTGAACTGTGAAGCTCAGCACCTCATGCACTGGGGCAGATAAGAACAACTTCCTCTCTTCTGAAAAAGACCAGGCTGTGCATTTCAAAAGCTGTCCTTTAGGCTGCAACAATTGTATCTCTCACTAAACTGTGTTAAATGACTAAACTCTTTACGTTGGTCCTCTGCATCCAACATGCTGTGAAATGGACATAACTGGGTCACCTCATTTTTCCCTGCTTGGCACACACAGGGAATGAAATTCGGTTCTCATTTATATTTAATATGATTCACGAGACAGAATAATGAATGAGGAAGCCCCACATATTACATCCAGAGCTGCCAGCCCAGCTTTGCCAAAGTGACAGATTTGGGTTTGAAACCCATGGTCTCCCTTTCCCAAACAGCAAATCTTTGAAAAAGCTGCCCCATCCATCACTCTGCCTGCAGAAGGGCTGGGTGAGCATCGCAGGAATGTTCTCTGCTTGGCCAGGCCCAACATGTGGATGGGGCAGAGCCCTGCATGCCTGACATCCCTGCTCCCAGCCCTCTGCCTACCCAGCCCATCTGTCCTGCAGCAGAAGCAGCAGACACAAGCCTGTCCCTTTACAAAAGGAAGAGTTCAACCACCACCTCTTCTACTGGAGGACTGAAGTTGTACTTCCTAGTGAGACAATAAATTGGGATAAGAGTAAAAATGGGCTTATTTTGGAACCAGCAGATGGATGTGCATCTGAGAAGTTTGTGGTTATGTTGACAAGAGGACTAAGTATTAACTTTTCTGCTAACGGAAAGGATGCTCCCTCGCCTGTCTGCATTGCTCATGGCCATGAAAACTTCATCAAGAAAAGAAAAAATCCCTCTCAAAAGCAAACAGAAGAACCACACAGGGCTCCCTTCAACCACTAACCGTGCACACACCGTACAGTAATACACAGATTAAAATATTACCTTTCCAGCTCGCCACCTCCCATCCTTTTCCTAACCAGATTTACAACATCAGTGGCACTGTTCACAATTTAAAAAAATAGAGATGGGAGAACTCTGGACACAAACCCAGCTGAGCAGCTCTGTTTGACAAGTAGATGGAAACAGCTCCTAAGGAAACTTGGGCTCTCCGGCCAGAGCTGCTCTGACTGAGCTCTTTCAGTTAAGGAGGATTCCAGCACACAGCAACCAACAAGGACAGATTTATAACCATTTCCTTCGCTTCCACCTCCTCTCCTACCAACTCAAAACCTGGAAGGGCTTTTTTTTCTGGGCACTGCCACAGAAAAGTTTATAATAAACAATTTCTCAACTCCTGACACCCCTGCCTCTTCCCCACAATGAACCAAAGGACATTTCATATCCTAACAGAAAACAAACAAACAAACAAACAAAACAGAAACAGCTTTTTCTCCAACCTGTTCTGTTGGAGGCAGCAAAAAAACTCAGTTATTGGGGTAGGATTATAAAGGCTCAGATAAGGAGTTATGGTGAACAACCCAACCACCAGAGGTTTCATTTGCACTGCACAAATGGAGTTAACAGCTGGGATGAGGAGGTCCCCTTCACTCTCTGATATCGTTACCGGGGTGAAGCTGCCAGCTCCCACCACCACACCACTGAGCGCTCAGTGCTTGAAATACAGTCATGCTAGCAAATTCCAAGTGTGAAGGGATGCAGCACCTTGAAGCCTTGTTAGTTCTCAAATGCTGTTTTAGAAACAGCAGCCTGAGCACTGAGAGCTCTCCAAGCTGGAGCCCAAAACCTCAAGTCAGGAAACAGAGTCTGCAAAATCCTGCTACCAATTTTCCTCTAATTCTATCTGACTCATGACCTTCAGTTGCAGGCAGCTGGAGGCTGGATTAATTTCCATCTCCAGAGGGATATGGCAAGGAAGAATTCATAACAGCTCCCTATTTATAGGTGAACAATAAGAGCTGAAGTATTTGTCTATTTTTGTCTTATTGTTTTAAATCCAGCATTATCTTCTACTTTATCACAGAACCTGAACCCCAGTGTCACATTTCAGTCCATTTCCAGCTGGAACTCCAATGATAAATTCACATTTCTTCAATGCAAGAATTTGATTAAAAAAAAAACAACAAAACAACCTGCAGTCCTCCATCTTCAAGAAGGTAACAGCCCAAACCACTGCCACAGTTCAATAAAGTTACATCAATGCTCAAGCTGCCATCCTACTTTTACA